TTCAGAAGAAAATGAGCGCATTATTAAACATGATCTTATTTCTTATAGAGAATGGTTTTGTGGAGGAAATTCTTTTCAAAGTACTGTTAAAGGTGGTGTTAATGTCAATTCACTAGTTTTCGTGGTCCGCTTGACCAATTAATATCTATCAATTAATTAAGGTTTTTAGTTGAGATAAAAAAGTCAGTCACGGGATTCGAACCCACGATTTTCGGCTAGATACGCCGCTGCTCTACCACTTACCACTTGAGCGTGACCTCGTTAATGACAATGATAAATTCAGTATGCCCAGATGTTATCAACCACTATTTCTTATAGAATTTTATGACTTGCTCAAAAAGGCAGTTTGGTGAGTATCGTGCAAGGCTGGGTCCTTTATTTATTCTTATAGCATCTCAATATGTGCCATGATAGGCCAGGTCATCAAGATGGCACCATGCTGGCTGCATACACTGGGCCGATAGACGGTCCAACCCAGCTTGCCTCAATGGCCTATAGTAGCTTACTTTTCCTGTACGTTAAATCGAGATTGAGGAAGTCGGTGCTACAGGTTTATGTTCCACTAGGGTGTATAATTGCTATTTACATGTTATTAAAACAACAAAAAAGGCCGACCAATATTGGCTCAGTGTGTGGACTCGTTACCATCTAGTGCACACTTTTCACGCTTTAATACGTTTAGTGAGACCGCTCCCAAAGCCATGTCCCCCAACACCATTTCCAACTTTGACCAATATTGGGCCATAGTGAAGAGGGGCCATTAAGGTGGCGCTGGGAAACGAACCATCGTTTGTTTTCATTTTCTATGTTTTAATTGTCAATTACCGGGACTATGCACAGGCAATTTATCGACGATTTTCAATCAAAGGAATGTTTTTTAACGTGTAAAGGCGTGTACACGCTAAGCAAATCTAGGTCAACGAAAGACCGAACGTGGCCGCCAACACATTGGCCGTCTTTGGCAAACCAAGGGGTTAGGGCCAAGGGATTCGGCCATGTGGAATCGCAATCAACAACGTCCTTTTCGATGTTACCGTCAGAAGTCCTTTTACACATTGAAAGGCATTAGCTGACATTGCCCTCCTTAGTTAACACTGTGTGTGGTGATTAGTGACCGTTAATCGATATTTAATTAGAAATCGTGAGATGCGGTCTGGTGTGATGTAGGTTTCAGAAAAACATTTTCTTTATCGTGCCAACGTTTCGATCTTTATTGAGATCATCTTCAGGGCTCAAAGTGTTTGTCTTCTGTGTAATTGTGCCATTCTTGCGTGTCGTGTTGAGAGTGCCAGTGAGATTTTGCTGTTTTATGTTTATATACGTTGGATTTTGAAGGGGTGGGGAAGGAAGTCGGTATAGAAAAGACATTTTTGTATAAGGCGTCGGCTTCTTTGAGGTGAAAAGAGCCGACGAAGGGAAAAAATGTGTTGGTAATGGTTCGGCCAGATTATCCTTTCAGGATTATATAGAAAGGGATAAATAGGAAAAGGAAAGCTAAATTGTTGGAAAATTAGACTATGTGAAAAATATTTGATGTGTGGAATGTAATGTGATGATATAGGTATGTTATCTGTATTGAATTTGATTAATGATATTGGCGTAGCTGCGACTGAGTTTACATGTATCTGTTCTGTAATTGATGCTGTGTTTATCTCTGTTGATATAAACCATTTCTAAGAAATTACGTTTATGTTTGTTTTGTTCTGTGTGTAATACTTTTGGATTTTTGAAGTCGAAATTGTGTTGGTGTTCAAGATGGTGGGTAGCGAGTGCTGTAGGATTTTGCTTAGGTTTTTTGCAATCATAGATATGTTGCTTTACTCTCTTGTCCAGATATTGGGATGTAAGACCGATGTAAGTTGCCGGACAGTTTAAACAGTTGATCTTGTAGATTACGTCAGATTTATTTGTTATTGGTGTGGGATCTTAAATTTTGGAAAAAAGTGTTTGAATTGTTTTACAATTTTTGAAAACTATTTTGAAGTTATCGGACGAGAGAAATGTGTTTAATTTATGTGATAGGCCTTGGATAAATGGTATGGAAATGTATGCGGGTTTGTTTGTATTCGATAGACTTAATGTAGTATTATTAGTAGGGCTGTGATTTATATGCAATAAAAACAGACAAATATGCACATATATATGTAAATATATTTGGTAAAAAGTGCAATTTAATACTGAAAATATGCGAAAACTGCCATGAGAAAAAAAATAAGGAAACATTAAATTAAAGCACATAATTGGAAAGAGAAACAGTGGCAAGAGGAACATCACATTGCTAATATTAAAAAAGAAAAACGCATTAAAAAAAGTTAAATTTAAAAAATCCTTCGTCTCAGCCATCGAGACCCAGATCGGTCCATTTTCGATGAAGTCTCTGATTTTATGGGATGTTTCATTGTATATAAGATCCAGGTGAGATTTACTGAGGGTACTTTCGTGGGGAACGGTTTTCCCTGTGTATTTCTCAAAAAACCTTGCATTCAGGGTGGCTTAGTTTATGGACGGGTATGTCAGCTCTAACTAAAGAACGACATAAATCGGTGTCGAAACCGGACTTTTCGATCAGCTCTTGTGGCTGCTTGTGTCACAAAGGTTTGTTGAAACTTAAGACTTCCTACCTTTGTTTTCCTTGTTTTTTGCTGTCTTTATGTGCTGTCCTACCAAACAACGTGTAGCTGTTGATACAGATTTATCACAACAAACACAGTATAAAACATCTGCATAGTCCTTTAAAAGTTTCACTTGAAAACTCACTCATATTCTTTTGAACAAGATCTTCCGTCTTTGCTGTGATTTTCGGCATTTTAGGAGTCTTCAGTTCACAACCCATAAATGTGGGCCATACTCAGAGGAGTGTAGGACTACTAACCGGTCATTGGCATCTGAGAAAACATCTACACAACATGGTCATATACAACGATGATCCCATCTGCAGATTATGTAATGAGGAGGAGGAAACAGCCACCCATATCATCTTTGAATGTGAAGCAACAGCTCAATGGAGATTTAACCTAACATATGGAAAAAACTTAGGGAGACAAATTACAGCAGCGACAGTCAATGACCTGATACTTCAAGGAGAAGGATTGAGTCTATCGCACTGAACTAAGGAACTAGGAAGGTACAATAAGCCAAAAGGCTGCAGTCCCTGGGTAGCACAAACCCCGCTTCCTAGCATCCAATTTACCATACCATACCATACAACACACAAATAATGTTTCACGATGGAAAACGCATGAGAGACTTGGTAAAACTGAGAATTATGATGGTAGGGAAAGAAGAGAACTGAGGTCGTAATATTTCTATGAATCCAATTATACTATTCCAAGAGAACTTTTACAGTGGTACAAACACTATTCCTTTCTTTATTTATACCAAGAGAAGCTAAGGCGGCCGAAAGCGGTGGAGCAGCAACTGAACAAACACAAATTCGTTCATTATGTGGAAACGGAAAAATGGGAGACCGTAGCTCTTTTTCGAAAGAATTTTTCTTTTTGCCTGCTCTGAAACATTAAAATTTGACGTGCCAAATACCGATATGCCGGATATGTAAAAAAAAAATATGCAGTTATAACCCACTTATGCAAAAATATGCATTTATGGCAATATATGCGCAAATATTCAAAATAAATATAGCTTAAATTGATTTCAAATGCTTCAAAACATATACAGTTTGTTAAAACTGGATATTTTAGTTAACCAGGAAAAATATGCAAATGCAAATTTCACAGCCCTAATTATTAGTAATAGTGGATGGTGTTAGTGTTGAGTTGTAATTGTTGATTATTCTGTTAATTATGTGTTTAGGGTAGAGATTGTTATGGAGGATCTGTTTGTATATCTTTATGTTTTTGTGGTGGAAGGATTCATGGCTTAAGGTAATCATACTGTGAAGTAACCCTTTGGCCGTGTTTATTATTACATGAAGGGGATGTTGAGATGTAAAGTTGAGGTAGCGATCTGTGTTTCTTGGTTTTTGATACCAATCTGTGATTAATGTGCCATCTGGTTGTTTTATTACGAGTGTACCTAAAAATGGTACTTTTACACATCCAAAAATGTAACTGTTATATGTAAACAATGTTTGTAAATCCCAGGCTCTGAAGATGATCTCAATAAAGATCGAAACGTTGGCACGATAATGAAAATATTTTCTGAAACCTACATCACACCAGACCGCGTCTCACGATTTCTAAATAAATTAGTTAACACTGTACAAAATAAATGTCCAAATAAAATGAAGAACTATCGATAAACTAAAGCGTACCTAATGTTTCTTATGAGGATAAGGTTCGGCATCTTTTTCATAGGCAGTTCTCATAAATGATTAATTGATTATATTTAAGACCTCAGTTTTATCAATCCAACCCCCTCCAAGGTACAGCTCCCAACGCAATCAGTTCCTAAATCCAACTTGATACTAAAACTTTTACTCGCAACCCTTATCTATTTTATTTTTGTTCTCAAGGGTACCTATACTTCCAATTTTCTGTAAAAATAGTTTATTCCATATATTGAGAAAAAATAAAATAAACACGCGAAAAATTGTTTTCTTATTGATAACATTATTTCAAGAAGTCGACATAGATTAATGTGTTAGTTGTTGGAATCTTGAAAATTTGACACATTATCAACCTTTAATAGCTTCACAGCAGAATTAGGCCACACCAGGATGACACAACGGTATCTCCCTCGCCAAAGAAAGACCACGAAAAGAAATTGATCACACGTCGTTCTTTGTTCGACTAATTGTATTTTTCTATGAATGGACCGTATTTTTATGGTGTTATTTATTTGAGGTAATTATAAAAATGGACTGACTGATGAAGCCTGTTGCTGGCCGGTGGATGCCAACAACAGGTGGGAAGGGGGTTGGCACAGTGGCGACTGGAGAGGGGCAGTGACACCCCCACACAAATCCCCACCAGCTCTCGTTGCATATATAAAGCAACCCCCTGCTTTCTTCTCACTTCACTTCTTACAATGTCAGTTTTCGCTGTCAACTTAGTCCGAAAAAACCGGAGTGTTCGTATTAATCTTATTATTATTATTATTCTTAGTAAATATTTACATAGTTTTTCGTAATTTTTAATAGGGCCAAGCTTTCAAAGTTCAGAAAAATTCAACGAACCAGAGGTGAAAATTCCCTATGCCCATGTGAATTTTTAAAATCTTCGTGCACATTTTAAGACTACATAGTGTAATTTTGAAAACTTACTTTATCCCATTAGCAACTTTACAGCGGGATGCTTTTTTGTTATTTAGAAATTAAAACGTTTTGAATTATTGATTGTTAAAAATAGAAAAAATCATGAAATTACTTGTTAAAAAATGAATTAAACGAAAAAAAAAAATTCAGTATATTTCAGATGCTCTGGAGTACTAGCATGAACTGGACACTGTGAGTATGCAATATCATTAATGAATTAACAAATTAACTTATGCTACAACAAAATATTTTATCTTATAATTTTTATTATGTAACATGGATTTCTTTTTAAAGACTAATCGTGTTTTTTATTTATAAATTTTTTTTAAATTAAAAACCCTTGATATTTTAAAATACATTTTTCTTTAATTCTTACATAAATTTTTTTTGACGTTTGATAATTTATACTCATCAGCATCTATATTTACCTTATTTTTTTAAACAAATTAATTTTTTTTATTATATACATCTTAAAAAAACTATTTATAATGAAAAATTCAAATTAAAAATAGATAAATAAACGAAGATAAATGTAGATCCTGATGATGGGTGTATATTCCCGAAACGTCAAAAAATTTGAAGTAAGAATTAAACAAAAAATGTATACCAAAATCCACACGGGAAAAAAATGTATATATATTATCATGTAGGTGGTATGTAAATGAACAGTATTAGGGGGAATTGGCGCAATGGTTTAGACATTAACAAGGTGCTCATCACTGTAAGGTAAAGGTCCTGGGTTCAAATCCAGCGGCCCTACATTTGAACATACAAAAGGGGCTTTTTTCTCAAAAACACCGACACTCCGAGGGTCGATATGACCTCTGCTGTTGCAAAAATAAATAAATATAAAAAAAATTATTATTTCAAAAAACTGTAAATCAAGGTTAGTTTGAAAGATATTTTATTTGTAAAGTCTTCCTAATACCATTTCTATAATTTGAAGAATATGTGAGTTCTTTTATTTTTATTCAAACTAGTTTTTGATGATAATTTAAAATCCATTGTTCTTGCTTTTTTTTAAAGTACAAAACATTATTTAATTGTTTTTTGAAAGGCAAGAAATAAATTATTGTACATATTGTATTTTAATAAATAAATATTCAAAATGCTTTAAGAAAATATGTGCTTAATACATTCACTGCAGACGTACAAACTCTCATTTCTTTCATAAAAATAATAATGCTTTATTATTTAAATATTTTACTAGTTTGTTCAAGAATCATGACGGTCGATTCATTCCTTCCTTCGTTAAATATTTTACGTTATTTACACTTTGCCTAGAATTTATTAGCAAGCTATAACAGCATGGTAGACAATCTGCCGGTCATTTCCATCAAAAAATATCCGACTGATAAACAAGTCATACAAAACATGTCCTGAATTAGTTAATTGAATTCCTTGCACATTTCATTTGGAAAATGAAAATTCAAATTTAACAAATGTGCTTTCTTCTCTTGCAATTCTAAACTATTCTAAGGCCTATGATGAAAATTTTGTTGGAAAAAAGTTGTTGAGCTCAACTAAATTTCCATAGTAGTATTTCAATTTTTTTTCTAAAAGTTAAAACATTATTTGCACTATGTTAAATGCCAGAACTTTTTGCCTGCATTGCTGCATCAACTGTCTCAGACAAATAGAAACAAATACCTTTGTCCTGTGGACATAAACAAGGCGCATTATCAGTTTGTTTATTTATTAATATTTCTTCTCAATGAAAAAAGGCCTCGAGACAAAAAATAAATAACTTTCACCAACTGACTCATTACTTCCTTAATGTTTTCATGTTTATCAAATTTTGTTGTTAAAAAATATTTAATGATTGATTATTTACATTTTCGTTTATCGACTATAAATAAGAATAAACTTTAACGTATGTAAATAAATGGTCATGGATAAAATATTTTCTACAAACTCCCCATGACATATAAAATTATGGTAGCCAAATCTGTAGGAAAATTTTTTCAATAGCCCATTTTCAAATGAAAGGAATAATGGAAACTATATTTCAGATATGATTAAGTTTGGACTGAAATATTTTTCTTGCTGTGTGCTATTGAATAATCATCGCATTTTAAGAGTTATGAGTCACATTAGTACAATGATTGCATTATGGATTATAGATAAACATATTTAAACATTGAAGATTAATCAATGAAAAATTTTACACCCGGAACAAAACAAACATGAACGAAACTTTTTAGAAATGGTTTACAACAGAGATAAACACGGCATCAATTACAGAACAGATACATGTAAACTCAGTTGCAGCTACGCCAATATCATTAATCAAATTCCATATCGATAACATTCATATATCCTCACATTACACAAAACATATAAAACATTCATCACATTCCACACATCAAACATTTTTACATAGTCTAATTTTTCAACAATTTAGCTTTCCTTTTCCTAATTATCCCCGCCTGTATAATCCTGAAAGGATTAGTCGAACCATTACCAACGTTTTTTTCCCATCGTTGGCTTTTTTCGCCTCAAAGAAGCTGACTCCTTATACAAAAATGTCTTTCTATACCTTCTTCCTTCCCCACCCCTTCAAAATCCAACGTATATAAACATAAAACAGCAATATATCACTGGCCCTCTCAACACAACACACAAGAATGGCACAATTACGCAGAAAACAAATACTTTGGATATTTTTTTTTGCATGTATAAATTCACTTTTTTCCACATCCTCCATGTATTTGTTAAATCTAAACAATGTTTGTAAATCCCAGGCTCTGAAGATGGTCTCAATAAAGAGCGAAACGTTGGCATGATAAAGAAAATGTTTTTTCTGAAACCTACATCACACCAGACCGCATCTCACGATTTCCAAATAATAATTGAAAATTAACATAATTTTCCATTTCATAATTAAATTCAAAATAAAATGATATAATTAATATTTATTTAAAACCATAATTTCCGCTTATTGAAAAATAAGATACTAGGGATCAATAGTGCTTTGAATATTTTTTTAAAGGAGAAAAAACTCAAGAAATTGAGAATAAAATTATATATTTCATGTATTTCTTACATTAAACATAAATACATGCAACATACTTATTAAAAACTATTTCACAAACACAAAAAGAAAACATTTATACAATAAACTCAGTACAGCATAGTAGGTTGTTAGCGCTATTATTTTTATTATATTGTACTATACTTTTGCAATAAAGACTTTATCGCCATTATTACAGTTCATATTTTATAATGAACAAAGTAAATTAGCACATTTATCCACTATTTACAATGTACAAATTATTTACAATCTCAAAGAAAAATAAAATTAAGAGGTAAATGAAGAGGTTTTAACAATAAATAATGCATTTACATATAAATTTCATAAGTTGGTAACATTCAATACACGAAGAAATTTAACTTTAAACTATCGTTTTTAAAAACAGATATATACAAAAATATCTAATACTACAAAAACAAAATAAATAAACATACAATTAAAACACTATATATACAACATACAGTTTAAAAACTATTGGTGATGAAAATCAAAAAATATATCTTAATTTTAAAAGTTATAAAATTTGAAAAATTTATCACATCACAATTTTAAAAAGCAACACATTTTTTTCCATTATTGCTTGTATGGGGATATTCGAAGTGCCTTGGTCCAGCTAAGACTTCTTCACTTTAAGACTTTTTTCCTGCTCGAACGTGCAGCCGCAGTAGGCTTTTGATTTCCACTTTTGCCCGACGGTTTCTTACAATTGTTTCGTTTTCCTTGGGATTGCTAAACAATTAATAAATATAAATAAAAAATAATTTTTATTCACAAATGGTTAATTAAACAAAGGTTGAAAAAATAAGGAAAATAAAGTAATGACACTCTGTTCACGAAAATGAAAAATCTAAGTTTATCTTTGATTTCAACAATAGGACTTGAATTTTATAATTTTATTTAATCAAAGCTTGTGTTTATGGTTTATAAGATCTAAATACCAAAAGGTATATTCACATGTAGATTTTACAATTGAGTTAAAATAACTTGTAATGATTTTTTCGTTATTTGTTTTTATTTTATTTATTTACTTTTTTTTTAATGAGGGTATTTCAACTATGAGGTTATATGAACACTCAGGGTGGCGGTGTTTTTGAAAAAAAAAGCCCATTTGTATGACGGGTTCGAAGGCAGGGCTGGATTCGAACCTGGGACCTTTACTTTATAGTTTACTTTATTTTACAGCACCTTGTCAATGCCTAAACCATTGAGGCCATCGACGTCCCTATTATTAAATTATTTAAATGAGATCCCATTGAATCAATGGCAAAAAGGCACTTCTATATATTTTGATTACGTACAAAATAGTGCATTAAATTACAAGTGCAATGAAATAGCGAGTTTAAAAATATTATAAAATAATTTTATAAATTACTCCAAAATATAAATTTACTAATACCCCATCATTAAAACACAAGCATTGAGAACATTTAACTTCATTAATGTAAATTAAAAATTCTAAATTATGAAAAAAAAATTGTTAGCCACCATTAAGCACAACAATAAATTGACTCAATTAGGATTTCAAAGGCTAATGAAAAAAATTACAAATAACTTAACAATTAACATACTTACAATCAGAAGGAAGTTGTCAGTTTTAATCAGGTGGCTCTTAATCGATAATATAACTGATCAATGATAAAATCAACATTTTGGGGGATTTTAAATTACACTTATTTTAATTTTTAAAAAATTAGGAAATTGTGAACAAAATGTAAGGATATATTTGTAAATTCTTGAACTCAAAGAATTCATTCAAAAATTCTAAAATGAATCAATTCTTAAAGAACATTCAACTTAATTCAAATATAAGATAATAGCAGATGAAATCTGCTCGTATATGCAACAAAGGTCAGTATAAAAGTTTCCTTCGTTGGCATGTTTAGTCAAATAATATTGTTAAAGTTAATTTTGACCATCATCTCTGAAGCCTTATAAGGAACGTCATTCCCACACATTAACTGCAGAAAGAGAAACATTCCTGACCCCAGAGGAAAAAATGAAAAAAAGCACCATAAAAATCGTTTCCAAGCAAATTCTTATTGTTTGGATAAGAAAACACTGCAAACCATCCCTTTTTAACAATTATTCTAGACATTTCAATTTTGTTTTTTTCGTATTTTTACCTTGATTAATTTTTTTTAAAAAGTTTTTATTTGATCTGTAGAAAACCGACTTTTCCCATTATAAATGATCTTTTCTTCAGAGAAAAGACTGTAAAGATAGATTTAACCATTCTCTAACCAACAAAAATTGCCAAGAACTCAATCGTCAAGCAGTTGTTATTAGTGGTGATACTAAGTTAAATTCATCATTTTTATTTATTTTTTAATTTGACAATCTGAATTCACAAAAAACCAAATCTTTTAAAGGTGAATTTCAATTTTGTATTATCATGCAATATATTTTTTAAATGGCCCAAATAAGACAAATTATAAAATCATGGGCCAAAATATTCTTTGCTTTTAGAATCAATTTCAATAATACAACTGAAAATGCCCAAGAGAAAAGCATTTCTATTGTAACAAAATCTTCAAAAACTTCTCAAGGTACCAAATATAACCATATAAATTACGGCCTTAAATTCTGTTCAATTTTATTCAGTAGGCCTATTACTGTATCAATTTCAAAGTCTAATAGACATCATCCAGCATTGTAAAAATGCCTAATATTCATCACATAGACCAAAATCGTACAAGTTTCAAAATTAGCATGAGTGGATGGAAATTTACGTCTGAAATCTATTTGCGCTTTAACTGATAATTTTTAATTAAACTTCTGAAGTTCCATAGCACTGGGTAGTTTAGTATAAAGCAATACTTCAGAAGTTTTATTATTAGAATATTTATATTATAAAATAGATTGCTAAGAGAATAAATTTACTCAAAGGCAATAAGTATAATCGTATATACTCTTTGGGGAGATTATATCAATATAATATTATATTTAGATTTGAGACTTTTGTATTTGACATTCAAGGCCAGGTATTGCACTTTTTTGTGATTCCAACAAAAAATGGATATAGTGACTGCAAAATAAAAAAAAATTAACTTACAACTAGAAACAATAAATTCTACCAAACAATTACCACTTAACCTCACAGACATAAATTTACCTCTAAAATATTTGAATTTTTTTTTCTTATTTTAAGTTTTCGTATATTAGTAAAATTTGACTGATTTAAATGCTAGTTTTATATGAACTTTGCAGTTTTGATAATTGAACTTATTATTATGTTGTACACATGAATTATATACGAAAACTTGATTAATCGGTTAAAGAAAGTCAGAGAAAAATAATGTCAAGTATACCATCTTTATATACAATATCCATATTCAAAACTATACATATTATATATTTTAAAGTCTGGAGGACGAAAAAAAATCCTATTTAACAAATAATAAATTAAAAAAACAACAACAGATACATGAATTTTGAGATTAAACTATGAAAAAAGTGGCATGTGCATCAAAATCGCATTATTTCAACAAATTGATAACCTGTTTTTGTAATCAAAATTTGCAAAACGATTTTAGTTGTAAATATGTAAGAATTAAACGACAATATGATTGACATATTGCAAACAACGAAAAAGTAACAGTTCAAATGTGTTTAATTAAAAAAACTGACAAAGTTCATGATTGGAAGTTATCATGAAATTGATATGGGCCAACAAATTAACAGAAACATTCATGTAATGTAAATGCTTATCATTGCTAATGGTTTAACCATTTAATCATGCTAACCATTAAATGTGATGTGTGAAAGTTCCCGGACAAGTAGTACATTTTTTGTACTCAGAGGATTTTTTTGAGCTAAATCAGCAAGTATAAAATATTCAATTTATGGACGTCACTGACATGAAATGATAGTTTATGTGTTTCAATTCATACATAAAAATGTAATAGTTTCATATTAAAGAATACTGATCGGTAAATAGATTCTGGAAAATAAAACTTCTTAAAAACCAGTTAGGAAGTTTTATTTCCAATTAAGCAAAAATCAACATTTTTCTCTGTCTTAATTTAACTACTATAAATTTCATTTTCACAATAGCGATATGTAGACTGCAACTAAAACTAATTTCAGTCAATTGAATAAAATATTAAAAATTATCTGCATTTGCTTGTATTTGAATTAAATTGATTAGTTCATTAGTTCAAAGTTTTACATTATTACTTTTGAATAAGTTTACTAAAATTAACAATAAATAATTTGATTCTCGTGAGGATGTAAGTAGGTAATATGTCTGGTATGTAATTACCTGTGTAATACAATTAGCCTTATGTTAAATGTCCCATCCATCTACATTGTCCAAATCCATCAAGGATAAACCTTAAAAAATAAATAAAAAATCACTGAGAATTCATCATGAGTATTTGTAATCTGGATACAAATCTTACCGAGTGAAGTACTATTGTCAATTCCTTTAGAACCTTTCTCTGGACTCAATTTTGGCCTTTTCAAAGATTTTCCATTATACAATTTGTGCTGCTGAGGAGTGTACTGGACTGCTTTCCTCTGCCTAGTACTCCTCCTTGGTGCAGGCCTAGAAGTTCCTGACTTCACTGTAAAAATAAAAAACTAAATATACAAAACTATATTGGTAAATCTAATCAAATTCTAAAACTAATATTTGACAATCTCTGATATTTATTGCTTGAACACGTGAATTAATTATTATTGCAATAAATATGCAATCTTTTTCTGCCTTTTTTGTTATTAATTTTTCAAGTGCTTCAGGGTTGTGACTCAAATCCTGATCAGGAATCAGATTGGCTGCTGACTATAAATGTGAAACAATCTTCACTCAAGAGGTTTGTATCAAAAAATAATAAATAAGAAAAAAATAAGATCAATTTTGTAATGAACCTGATGTTTACTTTATGTACCTTCACAAACACCTTTGTATTTTTATTTGTAAATATTTCAGGGCTGGAAGAATGCTTGTTCTTAATGCTGGATAAAAAACTAACTTTAAGATTAAGCTGGTCACAAGTATGTAATAATTTATTTTATTTTACTGGACTTACTACGGAGTAGTCTTAGTTTAAAATGATTATTATCTTAGTTATAAATAAATAAGAAAACATGACACAAAACTATTTAGTATGATCTAAATAAGTTACAACAATAAAATGGATGTTGAAATAGTTGTAACTGAAATTTTCCTTAAATAAAAAGTTTCAAGGTTGACTACTTTCGCCAAGCAAAAGGCCCATTATAAATAAGTAATAATATTAAGAAAAGTAATGGGAAAAATTGTCTTAGACTGATTTCAACGTGAAACCTAGTGTGCTAGAACACTAATACCCTCAATGAAAAACTAAAAACAAAATATTAATAATATTTCACATTAAACTTGTTATTTGAACATTATTCCATTAAAATAATTGTTTAATAAAGTTAGACAGTATTTTTTACTGAACTAACTGGAAGTTCAGTAATCAGAACAAGTTTACTTTAATCTAACGTTTTGGTTGAGATGAAAAGGCAAGTGCCATGAACGGGACTCAACTTCATGGACCTTAGGCTGACATGCCGCTGCTCTAACCACTCGATCTGTCATGACTTTGTATTTTCCCTTCTTTTTGCCGTATTTTCAAAGGGTTTCAAGTGGGTTCGAATCCTGCTCATGACACTAGGTTTTTCATCTCAACCAAAACGTTAGTTTAAAAGTACAATTAAATTAAAATCATTAATATGGACAATTTTGGAGGTAAGTGAGAGAATTTTACTTGTATGTTAAATAAAAAATATTGGATAAAACTGAGTAGACATATATTAATTTTTAGTAGATCCGGGATACAATTAAGAAATAAATAATACAGTTCAAGAAAACAATCCACTCAAATAATGAATTTAAAATGGCCATGAACAATTGTTCTTTTTTTTTTTTTTTTTTTTTAAGAAAAAAAAAGTTTAAACAAAATTATTCAAAACTGCAGAGCAATTAAGATGAATTATTGAAATCTCAAATATACTGGAATACAAAGGACGATTATTTTATTATTAATTAACGATTGGTGGTCTATGTCGTTTAACCAAAAATTGTTTATTTTATTCTACTTGCAATACACTGTGAAAAAAAGAAGATATATTTACCTTTACTAATTAAACCCCATAAAATACCACTATCATTTTAATTTTCAAAAAAATGTATGCATCAGCCAAGATTTGTTAAATAGAAAATATACCCAACTACGCAAAACTAGACCTCGAGAAATTATAGATTTATCTTTCCTGACATCTGTGACTTACATTTCTTAGGCTTGCTCTCTTCCAAATCAAGGCACTTAATTGGAGACGGATCTTTGTTCCACAATGAATACATATCATTGAAATTAATAATATCTGGAAGGCAAAAAACAAAAACAAAGATTAATAAACATACTTGGATTCTGAAGGCAAAGTGTAATTATAATAAATAACAACAATGAACTGTTACAATGTATGATCACAGAGGGTATTTTTTCTAAGTGAGCAATAAAAAAAGTCATCCTTTTTTAACATAAAACCGTTTTTAATATACACTATTTATTATATAAAATAATAAAAGTGTGCACTAATGGCTCAAAGGTTAATTGATAAAAATAAAAAAATATTAAACTAACAACAGCAATTTACACAATAATTACAAAAAATAATTTGATTCAATAACAGCACATTTAACAATTAAGTTATTGAGATTACATGGTAAAAGTAAATTAATTAAACCAAGTGTTTAACAAAAAAATGTAAATAAATCAATAAACTAAAGCATGCTCACTTGATTGAAAAAATACCTTGATTGTTTTGTTTGATTGAAACATAAATGCTACTTGAAATAATACATACCGAAACCCCCATACATCTTGTGCATCAAAATGTCTTCTTATGTTAATGTAATTATATTTTTAAATTTTTTACACAAGAGAAAATACTTTAAAATTTAGCCAAAAATATACTTTTAAGTAATAAAAAATAAGTGATATATATGTAGAGATCATTAATTGTGTGAAAATTAAAATTGTGATGTAAATTAGAAATTATAATTAAAAAGAGATTAAATAAAAAAATGCAAAGGTCAGTTCTCATTTGTTAACTTAATCTTCTTGGGCAATCCATTTCTTCTGTCTTCTTTCTTCTTAGATCATATTGAGTAATATTTTGTGTTTTCTTCTTGATCTTCTTTTCTTGATAGTTTATTTTTAAAGCCAATATGATGTATTAATTTCCCTTTTGTCAATTTAACAATATTTGAGCAAACGAACGGTGAATTATGAACTAAGAAGGCACAATGCTTAATCGGGACTGTTTGGGCTGGCAAAAAGAATAAATAAAATGGGGAAAAAATAGGAATAAAGAAAAGAAAGGAACACTTACTTGGCTTTTGTGGGTTATATGTTGAAATAATGGAGGAGATCAACAGGCTGCCTTGTGAAGTTGGGGCCCCAGTTGCGACGACGACGGTAACCTGCAGGGTGGATGGAAAATGGGAAATCGTGGAAAAACTGGATAGAGTTGGAGCGGATGAAAATATGGGAAAAACTTCGGGTTACAGGGATTTGGATGCGAGAGGGTAACTTAGGACTTTCAAAATTAGGTGAGGTCAGGTCAATCAGGTTGTAGGTCCTCAACTTTTGAGGCTTACAATGGAAGTTGATCTTCGAGATCGAGAACTGAAGAGAAGGGATTTAGGGTTGGAGGAGTAGGGGGAAATGGGAGGCGAAGCCTACTTGATTCTGCCCTGAGCCCAAACATACCGCCTATCAAAATTTTAACTAATTTTTTTTTTTTTAAACTGTAAAATGAAAGGAAATATAACTTCTTAAAACTATTTATATGATAAACTGAAATGAATGGTGCTTTTAGAGGTTTACTAGAAGGGTGGTAAGAGAATACAGTGAATGGGGTGGGTGAAGACTCCTGCGAGGGTGGAGACCGCCACCACCCTAGCTATACCATCATCACCCAGGTAAATCTGTTATCCTGACGTTGGGCCAGGATAATGGAGAAGAGTGGATGGTTTTCAGGAAAACCACTCCACCCACTTGAAATGCGTTGCCATTTTATCCTCTGAACCAACGTGTTTAAATAGGAGGTCACTGTTGCCAGAAACCCTGATAAAGTGCGCTCAAACGTTGCCAATGAATGAGGGGTTTGTCTTCGTCAGAGAAAGGAACTTCAGGAGGAGAAAGGAGTGAGAAACCGGTAGGGGTGAGGTAAGAAGTGTCCACTCCATCGCCAGGAGAGGCTGGGACTCGCGGCCGACTGTTCAAGACAGCCTCAATTTGGGCGAACAGTGTGGCATACTCCCCGAATGTCAAACTTGTCTCATCTAACAAACAACCAAGTAGATATTTCGCCGACTTAACTGCAGCCTCCCACAGGCCACCAAAATGGGGAGCGTTTGGGGGGTTGAAATGCCACTTGATGCCCTTAGATGTGATGACTCAATATGACATCTTTGTTCTGACTGAATATGACAATTTCAAAAACATTGCGAAGGATTAAATCATTTTCATCGATAGCCTTTTTGCGGAAATATGCGCAAGATGGTAGATATTAAGGGTCCTAGTTCTGGTTTGTGAATGAGGAGAGGATGATCCGTCTTTCATATAGACTTTGTAAGTCCTCCATCTGTCAGTTATGAATTTGATCAATTTAATGTGAGTAGGGATGACGTTGTGGTTGCATGAGTGGTGGTTCTGAAACTGTTCATGCGTTTGGGAGTATAAGTTGTGAAAACTTAAACAATAAACTACCAGATATTTGAGTCTTGGAAGAATTAGCATGGACTTATAGAAAACTTAGATAGGCCTCAAAGGAACGGGTTTTTAAGGGAGTGAAATTCTGAATATGGCTGACGTATAAATTGGTACGGCAGCATTTGTTCTTGTACCAATCCACCAAGTAATTGAGAGTAGCATGGTAATTATTATCTACATGGTAATTTGGAACCAGTGCCATCGCATCCCCTTTCAAGTGAGCCCGGAAGTGAATGAATTTCTCTGTGCATGATAGATCTTCATTCTTGTCGATGCTGACAATAAATGGGGATGGACAAACTAGGAGGCAATGGATACGGGAGTTTGTGTTAGTTATCTGAGGTTTAGTATCAACCCTTTCATTTTTAAAAGGGATTGGTACTTACCTCGAACGGCTTAGAACAACCTGAACACCAGTGGTAGGAAGGCGATCGAATCATTGGGGACCATACTATTCAGCATTATTTCACCCTGAAACTGTTCGAATCTATCCTCAATACTGTCTAATTTTTGATATTGCGGCTCGAAGTACGAAAGCTGACCCTCCATGAGTGACTTCGAGTTCTCAAATATTTTTAAGAGAGGGTAATATGTTTTCTCTCTTTCGTTTGTAATATTCCAGACGTTTTGGAATATCTTTAATCACACCGGCAAAACTGCACAAAACAAACTTTGAATTTCAAAAAAATAAATTAAATTAAAACAAACTAATTAAAAAAATCACTAAAATGAGACCTATCTTCGGCCCGGAGTGACCAATATGTTTGGGCTGGCAAAAAATAAATAAATAAAACAGGAAAAAAAATAGGAAGAAATTAATAAAAGGAAAAAAATAGGAAGAAAGAACAAACTTACTTGGCTTTTTCGGACTGTATGTTGAAGTAACGGAGGAAATCAACAGGCCGCCTCGTGAAGTTGGGGCCCCAATTGCGACAACGATGCTGATCTGCAGGGTGGATGAAAAACGAGAAATCGTGTTTTTTCCACCGGGTTGGAATGGATGAAAATATTGGAAAAATTTCGGGTTCCAGGGATTTGGATGTGAGAGGACTAACTTAGGGTTTTCAAAACAAGGTGGGAAGGAATTTAAGGTCGGAGGTGTACAGAAAAAGGGGGCCGAAGCCTACTTGATTCTGCCCTGAGCCCAAACAGGGACATATTAGACTTTTTCAACTTAAGTGTGGTTAATAAGAAGAAATTACTTAGTTAAAAACATTTGAGAATATATTTATTTCCACAAATTAAACTGAAATAATTTAAATAGTAGAAACTAATAAAAAAATACGCAATTTACAGTAAGCTCGAATTGTTAAAACTTAGAAAAATAAAATTTTTTATGTATACAAAATATGTAAAGCTTTGTAAATTCACAGCTCAGAAGTACATAAACAATTGAATTAAGTGTGTTTTCTTTTGCGTCCGCGGGTACGACTTTTAGGTTTTGGCTTTGATTTAGGTTTTTGTACTTTGTCCACTCCAGGTGGGATATAGCACATAGAGGAGTTATGTGCAAAATTCATAAGGACTTGCGCGGCATTTGTCGCATTTACGTCAACTGAAGAATGAAGGGAATGATGCATTATTCCCTCCTTCAATTGAGCCGGCGTCTGGAATCGAGGTTGCCTCTCCATTCGTGAGGGCAACGTTGGCGATGGAGAAGGGGAAGGCGATGGAGGAGGAGGAGTAGGAACTACGGTCGGCATTGACGGTGTGGAAGGATGGGAAAATGAATTATACAAATTGGATAAGGCTGCTTCCCTAAGACCCGGACTTGGTAACTGGACATTCGGAGATGTTTGATTTCTGTTTGGAATGATTAAAGGGTTGTAATTGTCAGGAGGTCTTATGTTTGTGTTTGCTGCAAACCGTGGAATGTAATAGTTCCTAACAGCTGGGGAATCCAAGTTGGTCTTACCGTCCTGATTTCCTTCAAGTATGGCAACACTTAACATTGGTGTGCCAGGGTAATATTCTAATTTTGGAGTATCTACAGATTGTGAAGCCTTCTGTTCTTTTTGATGGTAAGAGGTATTGTACTGGCTGGAATCAGTATGGTGTAATTGTTCAAATGAACCTGGAGTGTTATGGGTCTGTTCCGTATATGAACTGGTGCAGTACGGTTGTTCGTATGCGTTACTATCATGGGACTCCATATTTGAGAACACCATGGCTTTCCTCTTTTTAAGCGGAAGGCTCCATGATTGTTCTGGTTGTTCAAGATTTGCTGTCACAAAGTAATTTTTGAGTTTTCTTTTGAATTCTGCTAACACTAATTTATCTTCTTCTGTCAAATATCCCGACGATTTATTTACGGCATTGTTAAAAAATATTGAATAGTTAGTACATAAATTTTTAAAGTTAACACAACAATTGTAACAATCACAACGAAATTTGGCCTGAACTGATTTAAAACTATCTATAACATGAGGAACTATAACCTTCTGAGACTGTAATAACTTACTTTCTTTTTGCTGTAAAAGAAAAATACAACTATCTTTTTTACCCACCGCCTGATTAAGCCACGTACCTTCTGATTTTGTATCATCCTCTTGATCTGATTCGATTGATTTATCCTTTTCATCATTATTCTGTTTTTGAGTGAAGGGAGGTAGAAATAATGATGGATGGTTGGGATTGGTAAAGCTTTGGGAAGGATTAATATCGATTACTTGGGGTCTTATATCAAACATGGGTTCAAACAAGTCTTCTTCTGGGATAACAGGATTTTCTATCGCTTTGTAAGGCTCGTTTTCAGCATCACCTCTTTCGAGTGTCGGAACACCATCAAATGGAAAAAGAGTAGGAACAGCATATCCGTTATTCATGTTGTTGCTGTAGTAATAATTGGCCATTACATTGCCACGCTCTGGGCTCAACTGAGAGCCTTGATTTCCAGCCCAAAAGACATTATCTAGAGAGGGTTGGTGCTGATTAATCGTCAGTTTAGAGTCATTCGTATCCTCAGCTGTGGGATTCTTTTGACAAGGTAAATCAGTTGGAAGATACGATTTAGGATAGTTTTCTCTTACATTGTTGCTCAAAATTTCTCCACCGACTTGAGCTAAATTTTCTTCTGTGCTAGTTTTAGCACTGTTCTTTACAGTTCCTGGAGAATAAACCAGTCCTTCTTTCAATTGGGCTGGAGTTCTAAATCCACCATTGTCTTGTTTTTGAGAGACCAAACTGGGCTGAATTAATGAAAGTGGTTTTATCATATTTTCCGTAGAACTGTGTGTGTAGTTGATTATGTCATTAACAGGCTGAGGCTCATTTCCAATTTTGAAACTGTTATTTGGCTCTACTACCCTCATTGGAACTCTTTCTGGCAAATGTTCACTAAATTCATATCCCTTCAAACCTTCTTTCAACTCGGCTGGTGTTTTAAACCGAGTATTGTAAGAAGTGTTTGCACATTGTTGATTAAATTGTATTGGACTCTCACTTAGATGATGTCCTGGGGATACTTCTTTGTAAGAAGTTTTTTGTGAGAAATCGGTGGGTAAAGGACAATCATTGAAATGATCAGTACCTTCTTGGTTCATTTCATTATTCGTATTCTTACACCCCAAATCAACATTAGGTTTGCATTTTTCAAAATATTCATCGCAATGAGGATGCCTCTCAATACTATTGGGCATAACATCAGTTTCAGATTCAGGAAGAAAGTTGGTGTCTTCACTTTTTCTTAAGATGGTATTGTCTATGTTTTCCACATCGACCAGCGTATCATCATCCGTGGGTGAAAACCTCCCTTCCTTGGTCATTACCAAACAGGTTTCAACAGGATCTATGTCAGTTTCAGTCCTTACGTCTGGGTCCTTTTTAATTTCACTTGCGCTGTTGACTATGTTTTCTTGTTTTTTGATTTTTATGCCATCTATTTTGTGCTCTGGTTTTACACTATTTTCATGGATATTTACAGGTGGTGATTTTGGAAGTGCAGATTGGTCCACATTCTCACTTTCTATTTTTGGGTCGTTCTCATCATCAGAAAGTTTTATTGGTGTCATGTTCTCACTTTTTATTCTAGCATCTTCTATAATTATTACATCATCGTCTGATACATTGTCATCTTTGGTAGACGATGTTATAACACCTTGTTCTCCTCCTAAAGCTGATCGGCAATTGGACTTCAGCTTTTCCAAAGTTCGCACTAGAGTGTTATTATTATCCGTCTTTTGGTTCTTTGTAGGACTACGGTTTGACTCCAAATCATTTTCAGCCACCAAACCCTCCGTCATTTTAGCATTTAATTGTTTCATAACTTTTTCGCTTTTCTTCTTTTTCTTTTTAATACTTTTAAGTAATTTCGGTACCTTTTTCACAGGTGTTTTCAAGACATTTGCAACCCTTATACGATCTCTGACATTGGTTTTTAAACAAAGACTAGACCAAATGTCATTCATCAATCCATTGCTGCCATTTGCATCATCCTGTAATAGCGTTAAAAACAAATGTTTAGACATTAATTCCCTGCACGTTTAGAAATTGTAACATATTTGCAATTATATTCAATTAGTTTAGTTAAATTTTTTTACCTGATCATCACAGTTGTCATTATCGACATCATTGTCGTCTTCAAAAAATAATGGTTTATCTAAATGCACGGGTAGGTGTTCATTAAGAACAATACTGTGTTTTGGATCACTAATGGCTTTAAAGAATTCCTATAAATAAAATGATTTAGATATTTTTGAAAAGTACACAGTTAACAAAAGGACAGGTATGCAAAATAGTACTCACGGCTGTCTTTGTTTTAACGCAAAATTTGGCCTGCATCAGAAACATAGTTACATCAGTCCTAGATTTGGGAATTCTTGGCAAAACACCTCTTAAAACACCTGTTTTAATTTTTTGCGGAAAATTTTCAGGTGGCGTTAAGCGATTCGTAGCAATCGTCATTATTTTTCTCCTGTCCTCTGCCTTTTTCATACATTTTTTCCACATTTTAAAAACGAGAATGTATCTTGTGTATGTCAGTTCGAATATTTCTTGGCCAGGGGATACCATAAGAACCCGACTGAAATAAAAGATTATAAAGTAAAGACTAAAAATGGATGAGACAACATTATTATTTGTTATCAAGTTATAATATAGCATATTAATATAGCAATATTACTAACAAAAAAAGTTTAACTTACTTGAATATGGGTGTACAAAGCTCCCAGCTACATTTTGCCATCATTAGTTTTGTTTTTAGTATTGTATCAAGAATATGATCCTGTGATCGATCTGAAACATTCATGTCAAAAAATAATTATTATACAAATATAATTAATTTCAACTGAAATTATTATAATTGGAACGCGCTATCACAGAAAACGCTACACTAAAATATACTAACCTAAGAATAAAAAGAGGGAATTTGTTATTTTGCAACCAATTTTTGCAATATTTTCCTTTCCTCTTCTGAAAAAAAAAAAAAAAAATTATTTAGAAATATATTAATATTTTTTCTTTCAATTACTTACTTTGATGCTTTTATCTCCATATCGATATAGTAAGCTAAAAGATCAGACATTTTATCCAAATACGAAGATTGTTCTAATGGCTAAAATGAAAAAATCAAACAATAAAGCATGAAAATGAAGTAAAGTATTAACATAAGAAATAACACTAATTCAGTTACCTGTTTGATTTCAGTGTGTATCATATGAAACAACAACAACGTATCACTCATCGTACGTTTCAGTCTTGTTGCTCTATTAGGTTTTCCATAACAGCCGATCACAGACGTTGCAATATTTCTGTTCATTACAAAATTAAATGAAATAATTATTTCTCCTAAAATATATATTCAATACAATTTACCCAATATAAGTGGACATCAAATTTTCAAGAACATGAATATTTTTAATGCCCATCTGCCTTTTGCAATGCCTCTGGAACTCATCAACCCAAGGAAATACTTGTCGAAGTTTCTCATCCTCGGTTTGAGCTTTGATAGGAATGTTATTTTTGTCGTTGGCAGATTTTTTCAAGCGATACACCAGTGCATCGACTTCAGAACCTAAACAAATCAAAAGTGTTCTATGATAGTTGTAATAGTTTTGTTAAAAAGTTGGCAAAACAATTTGACACAATTTTTGGCCTGTCCTCTTCAAAGCAAAGGCAAAAATACACCAGGGTGAACCAAGATAAATAATTTTTTGATGGTTCAGTTGCCTTCTGAAAGGTACTTGGGTATTCAATCGCTGGCAATTGATTGTTGATCGATTGAACAAGGTTATAATGTACTGTAATTGGAAACCTGTATTGAAGGATTTTAAAACACTTTTTCATCAATATTTTTCAGAGCATATATAAAATTTCCTTATTAAGAATACTTCAGTCTTTGGATAGTTAAACTTTTGTTGAAATAATCTTATAGAACATCAAACATATCTGAAAAAGAGGATGGAGTTCTTTATACACTGACAGGCAAAAAATTCCACCCAATTATTATTTTTTTTTTTGCATTTTCTCTATAAAAGAAAATGATTTTGTCTCATTGTTTTTATCAATAAATATTTGTTTACGCTGTTTTAAATTGGGAATATCAATTAGAGGTAAACAAACTTAATCCTTAATCAAAAACAAGGATAAAGGATTTTTTAATGTTTACTTTTTGTAATTTAAAATGTTTATTCACTCTCACTTGAATTCTGAAGCAATAGACTGTTTAACATCTTTGTTTTCTTAATTTAAATTTTTAAACTTTGCCACTTAGTACTGAATATGTTGCCGTGGTGTGGCACTTATTGGTGATGGACGTTTCATCAGGTGTGCTCGGTCATTTTTTCATTACTGAATGCAGTGCAAATTTTAAGAACTGCCTTAGTACTGAGCTTAAATTCACGATAAGAACGCATGAATTATGGGTTGTAAATCCATGACAAAGAAAATATTTTATCAATTCAAGACACTTGTTCTTTATGAACTGACACCTTATCCTGTTAGTATTATGTTATGTAAATATTACAATTAATTAAGGTTTTTAGTTGAGATAAAAAAGTCAATGGCACAAGCGGGATTTGAACCCACGATCTTTGGCATGATACACCGCTGCTCTACCACTTGAACTATCGTGACCTCGATCCACTCGGACACCAACTTCCCATCTCAACCGCACCTTTTGAATTTTCCCTCCTTTTTGCCATTTTTCGTGGGTTCGAATCCCGCTCGTGCCATTGACTTTTTTATCTCAACTAAAAACCTTAATTAATTGTAATGTATTAATTGGTCAAGCGGACCACGAAATTAGTGAAGTTATGTAAATATTTAATCCATCTATGTGTATCAAATAAAAATGTTGATTAACAGTACTAAAACTGCAAGAACTTTTCTGGCTACCTGATAATTTGTTCTTATATGTAGTTGCTAGTCACAATTAAACTGTAATCATGGAAAAATTTATACCCACCACAAAATGACCAACATTAAGACTATTGTCTTGGAGGTGAAACATAGGATAAACTTCTTCAGCAAAAGTGCTGTCAGCTGGAATGCGCTATACAGACAGAATGCCTCTGACACAAATTTGCCAAGAAACACCAGAAAATAAAGCCATACTTCACAACGACCACAAGCTGTGATGTAGTGTTCAATTGCAATTGTTTAAATTTGTGTTAACTGTGATATTTTATTTGACTGTGAGTATTTGAAAATACTGAAGTACTGTTTCTCATCGATGAGTAAATAAATTTTCTCACTCTTTAAAAATTGTTAATAAATTCTGTATCCCACTTCTTGGCGGAGGGCTCATCCCTGGGTGAGATTCGGTTATTGCATCTCGGATGTTTCACTCTCCCCAGGGTTGACCTGTTACGGTTTTTGAGTGGCTCAAATTTATGGCCCTTAATTCGTTACGCTAGGCATGCATGGAACTACAGATATGAGTTAATTAAGGAGTTTAATTTTTGATTTGTATTGTATAACCTGTTTTTCTATTCTCTCTTTTGCATTTTAACAGTTATTATTTCTCCTTTTTTTTTCATTTCATTGCCTAGGCTATAACTTTTATCTTATTTTATTGTGTATTTTTTTGTTTATGATTGTTTAATCAACGACCTCTGGCAGACGGATCCAAGATCCATGTCCTTAAATGCTTTGAAATCAAAATTGTCTTTTTTCTTTTCTTAAGTTCAACAAAGATTATTATTATGTTAACAAATTAGTACCCTACTGAGAATATAATGGGCCTGTCGCTGACACTAAAATGCTTAACAAATGACATGAATGTACTGTTAATAAATAATACACTTAATCCTCCTAAAAAAATAGAAATATTAGTCTATATGTACTTTAGTTGATCCTACTTAACCAAAGAAATTATTTAAATTGGTTTATAATTTTTATGTGAAGTGTGGTTGAGATGAACAATTAGTGTCACAAGGAGGGGCTCGAACTTACAACCACTAACCACTTGAGCTATCATGACTTCGACATCCCAAGACAACTCAACTTTTTCCAATTTCTCTCTTTTAGCCATATATTCAAATTCAATCGGATTCGATTCTCAGCGACACATGAAGTGGCCATGGGGAGCTGTTAGCGAAGTGTAAATATTTTAGTTGGTCCTAGTTAAATAAAGTAACGATTTCAATTGATTTATAATTTTCAAGCTGAGTGGGGGTGATGTTGCATGATAGCTCAAGTGGTTGGAGCACCAGGGTATAGAGCCGGAGATGGTGGGTTCGAGTCCCGCTCGTGACACTAATTTTTCATCTCAACCACACTTTACATAAAACTTATCAATAAATTTAAATAAATAGAAATGTTGATTAATGATATTATTATAACAACAAATGAAAATCTGCACAAACTTTTCTGTTTATCTAGTAACCTTCCAGGGATACTGAATTTATTTTTATTTTTCAAAGGTACAATGGTACATAGTCTGTCAAGCATATACATGCATAATGAAAACCTTTATTTTAATGATTTATCAGTTGGCAGAAATGTTGGTTGCAAGTTAAAAAACAATTGATGAATTTCAAGAAAAAATATAAATAATGTATAACAAAACTAAAATTTAAAATTAAGAACTCATTGACGGAATAAAAAGACTGTTTTGAAAGAAATCCTCAATAGAGCGGAGAATATCTTTAAAAGGCTTCTTCTTGATCAAACCAGGAAGGTGATTATACAATTTAATGCCCACATGCATATAGCATTTGCTAGTTTTTTCTTTTTCAGTCTACATCCCAGTACAATAAGATTGTTCGAACCACGAGTATTGCAATCAGGCAAAGTGGATCAAGCTGGGATGCATGCTTCGTCAGATTTAATCAATTTTAGTAAGCTTAACATGTAAAGACAAGGGAGAGGGCAAGTTTACGAAACTGAGTACTACAAGAATCCCTAGGAGAAATATCGGCTAGTACCCTTAAGGCCATCTTTTGAATTTTGAAGGTGGAAACCGGGCTGGGGGTTGTTCCCCCAAAGATATATGCTATATAAGAGATGACACTGAAAACAGCTCAACTAGGCAGTGCGACGAACCTTTGGAGATATGTCTCCTTCAATACTTTTTAAAAGGATAGTTGTCTCCTTCAACCTTCTTAACAGACAATTTTTCAGTTGAGATAAAAAAGTCAATGGCACGAGCGGGATTTGAACCCACGATCTTCGGCATGATACACCGCTGCTCTACCACTTGAACTATCGTGACCTCGATCCACTCGGACACCAACTTCCCATCTCAACCTCACCTTTTGAATTTCCCCTCGTTTTTTGCCATTTTTCAAATGTCGTGTAATCTATTTGATTCTCGGTGACAAATGACAATTCAAAAGGTGTGGTTGAGGTGGGAAGTTGGTGTCCAAGTGGTAGAGCAGCGGCATATCAAGCCGAAGATTGTGGGTTCGAATCCTGCTCGTGCCATTGACTTTTTCATCTCAACTGAAAACCTTTATTAAATGTAAGATATTAATTGGTCAAGTGGACCACGAAACTAGTGAACTTCTTAACAGAGTAATAAATTTAGAACATTGGCTATTTGCAAATCAAATAGACCAAGACAGTTTTGACTGCAAAATGAAACCGAGATATTTGACAAGTAAATGGTAATTATCCCAAGAGGAAAGGCCATGAAGAGAAAAAATTTGATGTTGCAAAGGGATGGCAAAAACACTTTAGTTTATGTAAAATGAATGTTACATAATTTTTCAACTAATTATACTTTTTCATCTCAAGACCAAGACCTCAGATTTAAAAAATATATAATCAATTTAAATAATTAATATGGTCGATTATGACTGCTAAACCTTAAAATTTAAGGACCTAATCAATCATTTTGGACAAAGCCTTTCGGAAGCTTGGAAGACATGGGAAAACATCCAAAAACCACGGTTCTTAGCATAGAATTTGAGTTACGATTAAACACAAAAATTTCGGTAAATATTTGTTTCAAAACTGTCTAAATCCAGTAACGACTTTTCCTAAGTTTTTCTTTAAGTGGTAGTATTATTATGGTAAAAAGCTTTTCAAAAGGCTTGAGTAACCACTGTGTAGGTTACAGCAAACAAGGAAAATATCCAAACAAGTCTTCAATGTCGCTGTTTTTTCTCTAATTGATGGAAAAAGAAAACAAATTACTAAAGTCCAAAAAAGAAAATTGTTTGTTAAATATAAACGTGGTTACATTCAATTTTCTAATGTAATTTTATTTCTCACAATCCCCTACTTCACCCCTACCGACTGACTGCTGTAAAAAAATAAACATGTTAAAAACGTTTAAATAGGAAAATTGAGGTGAATTTTACAAGGATGACAGTATAGATGTGGAAAAAATAATTTTATCGGTTATAGGAATGAATGAAATGAATTAATACGTTTGTTTTTATCGATTATACAACGTAGATTGGAGTAGAGAAAGGTCCATTTGTAATTTCCGTTGTTCTTGTGGAGAAATGTGAAATCCTTCAGATCTTTTACTTTTTCTAAATTAAAAAACTAAGGAAATAGATAAAAACGAATTAAATCTGTTTAAAAACGTGTTGTACTGTAACTAAAATGATCTTTATTGTCAAACATTAACGCGCGTATTCCGTTGTCAATACGATCGGATCGTATAAGCATTAACATCGACTGCGTCCTCATGGACTGTCGTAAAAATGTACAAATCGACGGAAAAAGTAACGTACGTTGAATAGGAAAACGTGGATGTACCTGGCAAATTTAGGTAAAAAGAAAGAGAAACATTAGAAAGGTAACAGTCCATACTTGAATAACGGATCTCCATTTTTTCTTTATTTACGTTATTTGGCTACTACGCATTTATAATTTATTCCTAAGAAACGGCATATTTCGTCAAATCCGAGTTAATATAAATTGTAAGGGAGTCGATTTGTGTTTATATAAGTGGGACGGGGCTATTTAAGGGACGAGAATAACCGCGCAATCCCCTTGTGTGAGAAAAATGCTCCGATGCGTCGAAATTCGACAAGACCATCGCGGAAAAGTCCGAACGGTCTGTCTGAAAAAGCACTAAATGTGAAATACTGAAAAATTATCTTACTTGGCTTTTCCGAGAAACCTGCGATTGATTCCTCCGAGCTGGATATGGAGGAATCTTGGGATGCCCGTTTCAGTTCCATTTTCGGCATTTCACGCATAAAACATTTCCAGTTACACCATTTAAACGATGACAAATTATAATTCCAAAGGGAAAGGCGCGTCAAATAAATAAAGAACGACACGATGGAAAACGACGACGGTTATAGTACGTCCATAGCCCGTATGAACTGTTCAGTGTTCACTGTTGTCCACAGGGACGGACACGACCCCCCACTATGTTTTCCCACCCTGGCCATGCCCTGGCAGGGACCCTGGAGGCCGTGGAAAGGTCGCTATCGATCCGGGCCGAAGCGCCCCCACACCAAACTCCGAACTCAAGGAAAGTCCACAATTTTATTGCAAAGTTCATCGAATTCTTGAGTTCAGCTTACTCTACAATTTACGAAGCGATCGGAAGGCTTGTCTCTCTCTCAAGACGAACCTCGATTCGATTTAGCATGTAATGAACCGATGGTATTACATCCATATTAAAATTTATCGTTCATTCTGGAGAAAAGTTAAAAAGAGTCCTTTTTGTCAATTCAACAATAAATCTTTTAAATTTACTTAATTTATTTCAAATCGTAATAGGGAAATCAGTTGGTTCCAACGAAGCGATTTTGCATGTTTAATTTCGACCTTCTTGCCAGTTGACCGCGACGATCTGACTTGGCCAAGTTGAACTTAAGACGTCAGAACTTCAAAATTCAGTCTGCTGTCAGAAAATTTGCTCACAAAGAACAATAGCTAATTTTCTTTGATAGCAGCGAACTAGACATCGGACGCTGCATAAAAAAAAACCTTCCATCTAGGGAATTGTTTAGGAATGGTTTAAAAGGTGCCAAATGCATACGGGTAAAGGACTACAATGGAAATACATAAGAATAGAGCGATCTATTAGCAAAGGAAGCTGCTTGCTTTGTCTTAACCAATAAAAGAATCACTGCTGATGACATCGTGTCCGAAACAACTAAGTTTAGATCAACATAGCAAAATTTATACATGAAACAACAGAGGTAAAAGGTAAATCTTGTGCGTCAATCCAAGCCCTGGTACTCGACTCATGTACCAAGAGGGCTACTGATAGCAATAATCTACGATTGGGCCATAATAATCTCCTCAACCGGAAAAAAATCATTTAATTGATGATTAAATTGATGCACAGAACTTGATAACGATTAAATGTACTAACTTTTTTTTTATTGATGGAGCTACACGTTCACCCAATACCCATCCAAACCCACCCCCAGGACATCTACACGGTCAAAACGGAAAAAATAACTACCGAGGAGTAACATCAGAATCGTGGAAATTTGTATTTTCTATTTATTTCGTCTCATACAGCTTCCAAGTATAATTTGTAAATAAAATAAATCAATCCACCCTATATAAAATTGTAGGGGCGTTGCCATGGCAAGTGGGGTCATTGTGGTAGATCAGTTCCAACTTGTTGAATAGTAGATTGTTTTAATTTAATTAATCCATATATTTAGTAGTCATAATTGACTGCTTATTAATTATTAATTATAATTAATTATTTATACTTTTTATCTTAACCAAGACTTTAGGTAAAAAGTATAATTAATTACACATTTTAATTTAACCTCATTCTTGATTTTTTTGATCCAAAATTAAAAATTTCCTATTCTGCTCGAAGTCATCTAAGCACACAATATTTTTTAAAAGTGAATACAAAAAAGTAGTTTAACTTAAAGTTTTATCAACTGTCATTTGATTTCTATATTTGAAACATTTCACCGATAATTCTATATTACATATTTAAATTGTCTGATTTTGAATTTAAACTAGTTAAAACCAAATGATTTCAATAATCATTTTTAACAGTAGAATTCTTTAATGTAGACATATTTGCCATTTTAAAAGCTTTAGAAGATTCCTCTATCAGTCACGATAAAATAATTGTATTTTCTGATTCTTAGTGCACTTCAAGCAATTCAGAAGCCGTACTCCAAAAATCCGACAGTTCAGAACATTTGGCAAAACTTAAAAAACAATCTCTGAACAGCTCTTCTGTTTCCTTTGGACACAAAGTCATGTCGGGATTAAGGGAAATGAGCAAGCAAGCAAAAGCTGCACAAAACTGCTGCAAACAAACGAAAACAAAACTGCTTTCAAACTTAAATTAATTGAAAATTGGGAAAATCAGTGGAAACAAACAACTTCCAACAAATTACGAAATATAAAAGAGACTGTTAAACCTTGGGAAACATCCTTCCAAACTTCCAGGCATGATATGGTCATACTATGTCGATTACGTCCTAAACAAATATGACCCACAGGCACCTCATGGAAAAATCTATACCACCAACATGCTTTTATGATGATCAATTAGACATAGTACACATACTTGCACCTCCTCCCTTTTCTCTGAGGTGGGCTCATTACCCCAAAATCCCCTGTACTATAAAAGAAACGTTAGGGAATGAACAGAAAAAAATCGATCAAGTCTTCAAAAGTCTAAAAATGATAAATCTCTATAGGCTTGTATAAATTTCCAATAAACCACTGGTACCACAAAGGCGATGATAACCTTTGATATTGTTCATTATTTAAAAAAAAAAGTTGAATTCTTTAAAAAGATTTTTTATGTTCGGGTTGTTGAATAAGGATTTAAAAAAAAAAATCCTTTTCTCCACTGTGTCCTATATAGATTATTGTAGGAACACCTATATAACCATACATTAAAAAATGAACTTTTTCCTACAAGACTAAGCACTTTCTTTGATTCTTCTTCGTATACCTCTTTTGGTGTGAGAACTGCCTTACCGAAGTGGCTGTACCATAACTGTCCTAATGCTTCACATTCACAAAGGCTACATGCTGATGTCTCAATTCCTCCTGACAGGCTGCATGTTTCTGTAGTTGAGGGCAGTGGCCGATACGCCTATGATTTCCCTCAAATCATGTCTGCTGAGAGAGCAGTTTCTTCGTTTTACTTTTTGAGAGATTTATTTTTTCCTTCAGACCATTGTTCCAGTCCTGAAACATTCAGCTGGTAGGACAACCTCTAAACTAAAGTAGATTTTCAACTTGGTTATCCATGACATGTTTGTCCATAGTTGATTTATTGCACCTAATAATTAACAATATATTATCTCATTTTAAAATAAGTATTTTTGGCTTTCTATTGTTACTGAAGATGACACAATGCCAAAACATGCCAACAGACCAGATCATTAACACCTAATTAAGTATGCATTTTTACTTGAAGAAATGTTTTTTAAGTACCAAGTTAATGCTGCCTTGCTTAGCATAATGGGCTATGTTCTGATCCCATCAGTCAGCTGTGATTCATATCCCAAGGTCTGGTTAAATAATGTTGTTTATCTAAAAAAAATGACTAAGACAATTGTAGAGTAACACATGTGAATACTACAATTTCATCCTATTTAATGGTTTATCTTTTTCAACTAGTTACTATCTTTCACATGCACGGGATCGCCTTCTGATCTCCCTGTCCACACAAAAAATCTGTTTTCGCTAAATTTCATCTTCCTAACAATAAAATTTTTGAAAAAATAATTACTACACATTTGTTAAATTCATTTTTCGGTTGAAGCCACTTTTATGTGTGATTTGAATTACTTTAATGTGAAATTTAACTTACTACAAAATAAATTTGAAATTAAAAAACCATAACACATGAAAAAAAACATCACATCCAGTACAAGGATTGAATTTAATGCGTTACCAGCATGATGAAAAAAAACAAAACAAAAAACATGGGAATGTAATAACCATGAATCCATAAAAAATCAAATTGTTTAATTATTCACGACGATTGAATCAATTAGAAGTATTTAAACTAGATTCTTAAATAAGACTGTCTTCATTTTTGAGTTGTATAAGACCAGCTGTATACACATATAAAAACAAGAATTACACAAGGCAAATATCTATCAACATATTAACAACACATTTTAAATTGTTTTTGTCAACATTAACATTAAATCTGATATGGCATAAAAGCTACTACAATTTTAGATTGCCACAATTTCATAACAATGTGTAAGACAATCTATCAGTAGGTTTAAGATTTTTTAAAAAGTTAAAATCACTTATTAGAAAGCACTACATTTTAAAGTTTACGATGTTAAAAGTTACACCAATGTTGGGAGGTTGAGAGGAACAAAAACTTGTGTAAACATAATTTGTTATTTATTTTAAAAAATAATAGATCCTATATAAGAGATAAATGACTATTTACCACTTGAAAAGGATTAAAATCTCCTATTGAAGCATAGGAGCTAGAATAAAAAATAAAAAATTAGAAATTTTATTCAGATGGCTCCTGCTTTATCTTCTTCTTTTTCTTCGGAGGACTTTCTGCAAGAGGATAAAATTTCGTAAGAAAAGATTTGCAACTTATAAAATGCAATATAATAAGAAACCGTTATTACCACTTTCTGCGGGAGTAATTTCCTGAATTAAGGGCTTTCTATCCTCCAGTTTGATCTTCCTTTTACTTCCTGGGACTGTGGAATCATCCTCATCTTCGTACTTAATCACATCCCTGCAAACGGACATACATAAATATACAAAATAAATTAACAAAAATGGACTTAAAAAAAAATCATATTTATATATTACTTCTTCGAGTAGTATTTTTCAAATTTTGCTTTAGCCTTCGCTGAACCAGATATCTTCCTGAGGTTTCCTTCTTCGAGCATTTTAAGCCGTTGTTCTAATTTTGCCTTATGCTCTGCCCCAAAGTCAACATCCGTTTCATCTCCTTCCCCAAGGGCATCGACCCTAGAGGCTAATGATGCCTTTGCAGCTACTGATCGAGACATCTGAACAAATAAACATAAAAGCTGTCAATTCCAAACACAAACAATGAAAAATCAACCTTGACTCACCTTTCCTTTATTTTTTGTGCTAGCTGAAGTGACAAGAGTTGAGTGGTAGATAAGACCATATTTCGGAGTATCTTTATTAGTCTTCAAAGCTCTAAATAAAGCTTTTTCAGCACCATATATCTGTACGGTAGATGCGGGCTGTTTGGCTAAATTAATAAGCGAACCTGAAAAAACAAAATTTGTGAATATTGCTTAGATTAAAATAATAATAAAACCAGAGACATACCTGCTTGTGAAATTAATCTAGCACCGATTAGTTCTCCCAAAAGAATTGTGAGATTAGGAGCAATGGCCATCATTCTAGCTTTTAGATAATCATAGAGCTGACTTCTGTAAGCAGAAATTTCTATGACCTAGAATAAATTAATACAAAATTAATTACTTTTCTACATCCTTAATAATTATGTAATAAATGCAATATAAATATAAATATTGAAGTTTGTTAAGAGAAAGCATAGCATGAGAAAAAAAAAGTCATTTTATATAAACAATTGTTTTATTTAATCAATGACGAATGAATAAAATCTACAAAAAAGAATATTAAAAAAAATTAAGATGATAGTTTCAATGTTTTGGGATCAACTGCCAAATTCATATGTTTCATTTCTTAACTTTAACTAAAAACAAAAGAAAAATTAACATGATGTAATTATGGTTGCCTTTCCTAATGCCAAAAACGAAACAATTTTAAATTCTAACATCTCCTCTTCAATAGTGAACAGAGGATGCTTGGATGCCAAACTCATAAGGTGGGTTGAGATAGGAAGTTGATGTCCGAGAGGATCGAGGTCACGATAGCTCAAGTGGTAGAGCAGCGGCGTATCTAGCCGAAGATCGTGGGTTCGAATCCTGCTCGTGCCATTAACTTAAACGCTTCCTACTCATTCCTTATAACCTTATCTAGAAACCCTATTTAACTGATCGCATCTACAGAGTAAGGTACGGCAATGAGCTATCAGAAGTACAAGAAGGCATACCAACAGGGTTCCATCCTTTATATCATTTATTATACTGCTGACCTACCTGCACACCTCAATACCATCATTACCACCCAAGCGGATGATACTGTAATTCTGTCCTCTAACTTAATCCCACTCACTACATCCAATTTTTAACACCTTGAGCTTATCGAAGACTAGTGCAAAGAGTGGAGGACTAGACTGAATGAAGGAAAATGTACTCACATTGAATAAACAGTTTTGTCCTCCACTGCACATCAAACAACAAAGATAAACATTTCCACTCAAGTCAAATAACTAGACAGAAGACTGACCTGGAATCCTCACAAAACTTAAATGACAACAGAAGACTTGGACAACTATGAAGTTGTCAGTACCTCATCCAAAGCGACCTTAACATCCCTTTTTGTCAGCGAACTCTTCCATTCCTGTTTCAAAAAGTTACATACCAACCACCCAATCCATCCTAACCCTACTTCTTGAGCCCACCACAAGAAACACCACGTCATCGTAACCAATGATGGCCCCGAGACCTCCTCGCGCATTAATACCTCATGCTATGTGCCAGGCATTGGTTGGTTTTTATACGAGTCCTCTTGGGTGCAGCACTGTTAGTAAAGTACGATCACATTTGAAATATGTACAAATATGTGGTAGGCTATTGTCATTTATGTTATGGGGCAATACAATATAATGAGTAATAAAGTTAATAAATAGAAATTAAGGACGAACAGTATTACTTTCATCTTAGTGCAAATTCATTTAATGATTAAAAAAACGAAAAACTTCAACTCATCCTACCTGATCACATAAATCTTGAATATTCATAATATCATCTTGGGAAATTTCTGTTCCCATTGATATTTCAGCGGCTTCTTTGACTTTTTCTTCGACATCTTCAGGCAGAACATCAGAAAGATCTGTGTTAGCAGTGTTATCTCTAGTTCCTTCAGTACAATTAGAAAAACAAACATGAGTACTTGTAACATATTAGTAGTATGTAGTTGTTATCTTACCTATTAATTTTACAACTCTTACAAACACTACACCATCTGTGATTATTTTCCCCAATTCTGGAAAATGCCAGCCATACCATTCTCTAGCTCTCATGACATAATTATTTAATTCTTTATCTAAATCGTCCAATAAACAGATAGCTTGAACTATCATTGTATCAACTTTGTCAGGGCTAAATTTTAACTTGTACCTTGACAGGCTAAAAAACACAATTTTTGTTGGTTAATATTTTGATTAAAATAAATGTAATGTATTAAAATTAAAATAAATTTACCTGTGGGCTAAACCTAAAGCCATTGCTGAAATGTCTTTCTTGTCTAACCCACTCAAGAGGTTATCTACTTGTGACCGGATGCATCTGAGCAGTTCCATAACATTTGTATTTGATACGCAAGAAACGTTAAATTTGTCCTTGATGGCATTACCAAGTTTTGCATCCGCTATAAGTATTTGGTCGGTGGCTTCTTTCAAAACTTTTTTAAGAGCCTTTTTAAGAACTTTACTCAATTTTCCTTCAACTGCTGCTGTTGTTGCAGCCAAAGCTTCAGTAGTGTCATTGAATTTTTCAAAATGCTTCAATTTGACTCTGTAAAAACGAAACAAATTAGAACTATATTAGATTTTTTAAAGGTTAAATATTTGAAAACTAGGCTGACAATTTGTCTTACAGTAAGTATTTAAATTGTAGGTGGCCTTTATCCACTACATATACAGGGTGAATTGCTACTCGTGCTACAAACTTCTCCAGTAGATTCTTCACCCTAAAATGAACAAAAAAGTTCATATTGTCCATGGTCCGATTCNATCGGACCATGGACAATATGAACTTTTTTGTTCATTTTAGGGTGAAGAATCTACTGGAGAAGTTTGTAGCACGAGTAGCAATTCACCCTGTATATACTATCATGGTAAATGTTGTGATTACATTTTAAATTTAGCATTTGGGAAAGTAATTCTCGAAACAAATTCAGATAAACAGTCAATGCAAGAATGGTGTTACTTTTTAACATATTGGATTGAAAATATTGTCCTTCCATAGAAAGAAATGATGCAACATGTCAGGATATTAGTACGAAAAAACTGTGGCTAGAAGTGGCTGTAAATTAAGAAAATAGATTTTTTTTTCAAGTACATACAGCCAATAACAGACTAAGCAAAGAATCTATTGAAGAACAAAACTAATCAAATTAATTGAATCTAGTGTGCAGCTTTTTAGAAATCAAATAATTTCTGGAACTCCAAATAAAAATAGAAAAAGAAGGAATTGAACGTGCCTCCAAATCCTGGAAATTTTATGGAATTAGTAGAAAATAAATGAGATTAGTAAAAAATAAAGGGAATCCCGCTTAACACTATTTTCATTTTGCAAATTACTAAGGAACGTAACACTGTGTAAAGCAGAGAATGACTAACACGAAAACCCCCCCGAATGTTAACAGACCCAGTGCCAGTTGAAAACATTCCAAACCAGGGATACACCATTCCTTTAATTTACGCAAATATCTGTTCCATGTGGATTGATTTATGTGAATATCATGTTGAAGACACCTGGTGTGAGCCTAACGGAACAAAGTTTCTTTCAGCATCACGCCAACTGATCTCACAACACTGACTTTCAATTTTAAAACTTATTCTCTCGTAAAAAAAAGTGCCACGTAAATTAAATTGAGGTTCTACTGCACCCATTATTTAACTAACCACTGCCTCAAGGAAGAACAGGTTGCATGATTTGAAAGGCGCCACTTTTTTCTCCAACAAAATCCACAGAGTGGTGCTGAATGGAGTCAGGAACAGGATTAGAACCTACGCTCAATACGCTGCTTTCTCTAACCACTCGAGCAATCGTGACATCATTAAAAACAATTTTCAATTAATTAATCTTTAAGTAAGGTATTGGTCGAGATAAAAAAGCCAGTGCCACGAGCGGGATTCAAACCCACGACCCTAAAAGGAGGGAAAAAATCAAAAAGGTGAGGTTGAGATGGGAAGTTGGTGTCCGAGCGGATCAAAATCACGGCATATTTAGCCGAAGGTCGTGGGTTTGAATCCCGCTCGTGGCACTGACTTTTTTATCTCGATCAATACCTTCTTAAGATTAATTAATTGAAAAGAATTCAATTGGTCAATTGGACCACAAAACCTAATCAATAGTTGTCACACAAAAAATTCAACTCTTGAAATAGGTTTGGTTTGGTTGTTTAAAATATGTACTACTACATAAAGATGCAATGTTTAATACACTTGTTGATATCCAGTTTAGCCAGGATATCGATTTAATTAGAATTAGATTAAACAATATTTACAATAACCAATAATACTTTTAATCTAAGGGGTTGGTTTTTTATCTCAACCGTCTCAACTAAAACCTTAGATTAAAAGTACGATAAGTAAAAGTAATTAATACAGTAAATTATGACAACTAAATATACATATGCAATAATATTTACAATAATCATAACTTGGCGTGTTTAAACAAATTCAACCTTCACAAAACATTTACGAAAATAGTACGAACTTACATGCTGTTGGCTTTTTCTGGAGATTGAAACTCGTCGAAAAGTGAATCGGTTTTGTTCAGTTTCTTTTCATCCATAAGCTAGAACAGAAATCCACGTGCAAAACACTTAAGACTACGATCCAAATTTTGTTATTTTAAAATGAACCTTATTTACCTTAAAGACGGCATAGCCGGCTGAAGATTCGAAAAGAACCAACATCTTGAGAGAATAAGGTAGAAAGGAGTTGTTTCAAGTAAAACAAGAATTTGTTAGGAATGTGGCATGGGAGGAGGCGCTTCTCACATTCACAAACAGAGTAGCACCGTAGCACGTGGTGTAAGGGGAAGCTAACCTCTTGCTCTTAGGCACGGCGCGGCGATCGGTCACTGGCGTCGAAGAAGTAAACCCGGCTGAAGAAAGGTTACTGGAAACTGGCGACAGTCGACGGAGCAGTGAGCACCATTCAAAGTACCGGAACCATCCGCCAGGCAAGACACATCATCATAAACCGAAACCTCGACCCGACGTCATTAAAGGTACAACGTTGGTGAGCCCAGACCTCAACAACATCAAATTATTACACCAAAAGTCCAACGGTCATTATTATGCAAAAATACTGAATATACAATTCGATAAAGTAAATATATAGAGAAAGCGTTCAAAGTATTACAGTAAAAAATAGAAGTATTTATTATTTGAAAAAGATCCGTAGTAAAAAAAAATGCCCATATTATATTTTAATGAAATTACTTTTAATTAATAAACTTTTAATTCTGAGTAATGAAATGAGTTGCTCAAAAACTGATATCTGAATTGTAACATTCATCAATTATTAACAGATTATCCTTAATTATTCTAAACAAATTATTGTTGTATTTTTACCAAATGAGCCTCAGACACTGATTTTTTTTTTATTGAATTCACTACACTGCATAAATAATTAACAAAAAAAAATCTATTAATGGTTTTTGTTTGTTTAATTGTTTATTACAACGAATATTAGATTTCTTTATCCTGCATATTTTCTTTTTTAAGTTGTTCATCAAAACTTTATCGTATAGGGGATGTTACTAATATTTCGAAATTATAATCTTATAATATAAGTATTTCCGTAGGCCAACTTTGATTATACTCTGGTTTGAGATATTATTGATTAAGGATAGGGACAAAATAGACGGCCACAAGGTCTTTTGCACCTCGACCTGAGTACATCTATTGCACGCCCCTGTTATTTATAACTCACTGGCCAGTTTCAGGTTGTTAATCAACCTCCATAGCCCTTGCAAGAGGATCGTTAATTTAGGATCTTGCTGGCGGCTTTTTCTCTTCTATTTGCAAGAATCTGCTTCTACATGGACATTCACAAAAACATAAAACTTGTTCTGCGGTCTCCTCCTCTTTCTGGCAGTATCGGCACAGTGTTTCTTCTGTACTCCAATCCGGTGCGTGTATCTCCTTAGGTGGCAGTGCCCTCTCAGGAGTCCGACCAGGTGATGGTTACTTTCCAGTATTTCCTTTGTAAGTTTTGAGGGTGGTCCTTATATGGACTTCGCGTGCCTCATGTCTGGGGTATTATTTCAACCAAACTTTGGACTCATTAAGGAAAATGCTAGGCCACAGTAGGATTCGGTACTTAGAGAGTCCATGTTGGCTCCCTTTGACTAACATGTCAATTGCCTCTATGTCCCGAATCCCCAGGGACCCATGACACGTCAGGTCATTGGTGTCGCTATTATTCGGTACATGGTCCTTCAATTAATACTTTATATTAAACATTCGTCACGCTTTCGGCTCTATATTTGGCCTTCTTCACGTCCATGTTTAAAATGTGTGGAAATTTTTTAAAAATTTTTTAAAAATATTTAACTATTAAAGTCTCATATATTATTATTTTTATGGATTTCTTCTTACATTGCCATTGAGAAATATAGAGCCGAAAAGCGAATGTATAATACAGTGTATTAATTGAAATACCAACGATCCAATAATATTTTAAACCTAAATATTTATTACTTTTTGTATGTAGTACTTCTAACTTGCATTGGCGATGAACTTGCAGTTTGGCCTTGGTCTGCCAAGCCAAGCTGATTAGGTCGCGTTTCGGCATTTAGACTGATTTAGTGGTGCGTGTTTTTACTCGAGTCCTTTTTACAAATTTGCATTGCTAAAAATAAGAAATTACTGAAGAAATTGCTCAGACGGAGACAAAATTCAGCATATTATCTTTACTGGCAGAACCGTGCAGAGACAAGAATGGTCAACTAATTTTGAATAACTTTTTGTATTTCAGTCTATGCGTCATAGAAAGGGAAGGGTTGTGGAATTAAACAGGAATTCAATAAGAAAAATAAACAATGGTTATTAACTATCGATTAACGGTCACTAACCTCTACACATATAAACAATGGTGTATATTTTTACATTGGATATTTTTTTTTCACTTGACTAGTTTTGTCTAATATAATTTATGTTTTTTTAGTGACCGGTTGTTTAATAAGTTATTGGTTTCTTGAGGTCAATAATGAACCTTTTCAATTTTTTTTTTGCCGCCGTTTCGATCTTTATTCGGGTCATCTTCAGGGCCTGGGTGAATTGCAAAACATGTTGATTTGAAAAAAATACAATACAGATGTAAATATAAATATGAATGAAATACTTAGTTTAGAGTTCATATTTATATGTGTATTGTATTTTACAATCAACATATGTTTTGTAATTCATCCAGGCCCTGAAGATGACCCGAATAAAGGTAGAAACGTCGGAAAAAATATGAAAAAGGTGTTTTTCTAGACAACCTCATTCTTAACCGCTTCTCATGAATCAAATAAAATATGTTATATTCGGTTTTTAATCAGTTACAACGTTATTTATTTCGTGTATTTTTCGATTGTATTCCTTCTGAATGATTTATTTCAAATCTGTTTGCCTAATTCACTTTTTAACGCCTGGTGTTATGACATGAACTGCTCATTTGGAACCTGTTTGTATGTTGTGTTTATTCAGTTGTTTGATCTGTTATTTGAAGGGTGTGGTATGAAATCTCAAGAGCTGAGTAAACCGACTTTAAATTTGTATACATTCACAGACTAAATAGATCGATAACCTTAAAACCCTTTCCACACTAGGATTTAAAATAATTTTATACAGTGCTATAAATAAATAGATAAACGATCAGGATGTGGCTGTCCGCTTGTTCACGTTGTTCCCAGTGGACGGTTTTCTGTCGGAAAAGCGTTCTCGTCGGTGAGTCGAAGGGTGAAAAAGCGAGGGGCGGCTCGGTGGGGTTGGCGGAGGATTGTGCGGCCGGGGGCGGTCCCGAATCTCCTGACAGTACTGTGAGGCAGCCGTTGGAGAGAACATGTCTCTCTCGGTCAGGCTGAAACAATTCCACGTCGCCAGGTCCAAAGGGGCAAAATTGGCTAAACTGACTTTCAGAGGTAAGCCATCAACTAACGACGACACGAACAATTAGCATGATCAACAACTACACTAAGCATGATTGCAAACTTCACATTTGTACAAAATAAAACAAATCGATAAAAAAAATCCTTTTACATTCCCCAAATTTGTTCCTCAACAAAAATGAACACCTTTATGTTATTGTGCAAATGCCTGTTTTCATTTTAAATTTATTATTGTTTTCATTTTGCTTAAATCCTTCTGACTGAAATAAATTTTTTTGATGAAAGGCCTTACACTTTCAAAACTCAGTCAGATCGCGCTTTTATTTACAAATTCTTGTATCAACACAAAAAACTTTCAATGTCACAAATAAATAATATTTGACTTAATCACTTTTTAATTTAAAAGCTGATTTGAATTGCTTTAAATTTTAAATTTATTGGTTCTGGTTGGTTGTAGTACATTTTTAATCTAATTTCATTTTTATTTACTCACAGTTTCTGTAGTTTTTTAGGTACAATCAATTATGAAGATGGGCGATGAGAGCTTTCAAACATATATAATGATCTTATTGTGGCTGAGGGCTCAACCCCGCAAATACCACTAATTAAAAATAAATAATAAACTTTCTTAGGTCGGGCAGTTTTATATCTATAAAAATATATATTTCTAAATTAAGCTTAATCAAAGACTGTAAAATTTTTTTTGCGATGAGCGTCATATGAGTTTGAACTTGCAACTAGTCATACTCTCAGAGGGGAAAAAATTGGCCACCTTTAATATTTTTAATTATTTCTCAGACAATCCTCCATTGATTATCTTAAAACAATATTTGGTCCGTTTTAAAATATTAGAGGTAAATAAAACATAGTTAAAATCTCCCAATTGTGTCATTGGATTGTTATACATTTTTATGTTTGAAATTTGTTTGAGAGATGGCTTTACGTGATGCAGATTCGTCTAGAATTTGTTGGAAAATAGAGGAAGTCAAATATGGAGTCAAGTATATGGACTCCTACATAATCGAAGGGTTCCACTCCTTGGCTACATATATAGAGCGTGTAGGACTGCCATCCGATATGAAAATTATGCTTGAGCAGCGGGGTTTCTGAGTCCCCAGTTCCGATTTTTAGACAAAACAATACTGGTTTACTATGTACAGTGCTTTATAGAATTTCGTCTTGGGTTTCTTAGTGTATATTAAGAATGAATGTATTTATTACCGTGAATGTGCAATGTGAGAGGGCCGATGGTGCAATATTACCCCATCAACCGTTAGATTAAACGTATAATACTATATACATTAAAAACCCTTAAATATGCCAAATAATTTGCACTAAAATAATTAAAATAATCAAGACGAATATCAGAGACATCAACGATTCATAATTATAATAATCTTTTCTAATCTAGACATTTTATGGACTAGTACATAGTCATTTTGAAAAGAAATAGAATAGAAAAGATTCAGTAAACAAAAAATCATATAATTTAAAATAATGTACGAAATAAATAATTAAACTTAATTAAGTGCATGATCTGAATGAAAATTGACAGTGATATACATTTCAAAGTTAGTGTTTTGTGAAACGCTAAAAAAATATTTGAACTCGGAAAAAGACTTTTAAACGCAGATGTGATGGAAGCATACTTACTTATAGGAACTTAAAATAATTGGATCGTCGAGTCGCTGAATAATAACTTAATTGACTTCATTTATTTTCGTCTGTTAAGTCAATCCGGATTTTTGTCAAGGTTGTTTTTTTAATATGTTTTGAAATATAATTCCTGCATTGCCGGGTATGCTGTTATTCGTTGAAAGGAAAAATCCAGCCTATTTTAGAAAAAGTTTCCAACTTTTGACATTTTTTTAGGATTACTAGGTCGAATAAGTTCTGACACTGACAATTTTTGTGTTTCAAATGAGACCACTATTTCCTTCTACAACCAGACTTCAGAAAAATTAATTTTTGAGGAAAGGCAAAGAAATTGCACCCATTTGGTTTGGAAATGAGGGGCTCAAATAAGAAGTCGATTATTTCGCAAGACTTCTGTGGCGTCGTTTCTTTTTCGTTCCTGGAAAATTGGAAAGCTGAACGACATTTTAGGCTTTTGTCTTTTTCCTATCATGTTCTTAGTTTATTTAGTTAGTTAATAGTTTATTTTTATTTTTTTAAGTTATCAAAAATGTTTCAAATTCATTATATTCTTCAAATATGCAAAAATATGCAGAATGAAATTTGAAGCACAGTACGACCGAGGTATGATTCGGATAAATATCTGTTCAACATATTGGAAAAAAGCATACAATTGTATAAAAATCCGGGTCTTAATTATAAAATATGTGTAGAGGGTGATGGAGGAAGTACTCGACCAACATAACAGTGAATGGTATGCAAACAGGAAAGAATATTTTTAAAAATGATTTAGAGAATGAATGGGTTTGCTTTTAGGAACTGATTGCGTTGGGGGATGAAATGACCTAGCTATTGATAGACCCTACGCCCTGAAATTCATACTAGTACTATTTGTGTAGTAACTTGTAATTTGTTCAATTTTTTTTTATAATAACAAAGTACAAAAGTACAATGTCAAGTAAAGTCAAAAGTACAAGAAAAATAGTTTAAAATACAAGAAATTCTGTTTTATAAACAGTCGCTAATAACAAAAATATTTGTGAAATAACTGTCTTTATTATATTATGAATACTCGACTCGGACCCCCTGTATTATCCAAATATTAGTGCAAACTTCCAAAAGTTAGATTAATTTTGCTAATAAATTTTTTCACAATGTTAGAGGATTTAATTTTCAGTAGAGATGAGGCCTGCTGGTAATTTATCGTAAATTAGACAAAGATAGAATTGTAGGAGAGCTGCGAGAATTTATAGAATCAACTCCGTAACACGTATGTATATACATGCAGCGGATTTGAGCTTATACAAATCAGTAATCATTAATCAGTACATCATGTTATAAAAGTGAATTTTGTTAAATTATTGTATTAATAATTAACTAATTCTCCCAATGCAACATTGCATTGTATGTGTGGTGATTAGTGACGGTTAATCAATAATTAATCAGAAATCGTGAGATGTGGACTGGTGTGATGTAGGTTTCAGAAAACCATTTTCTTTATCGTGCCAACGTTTCAAACTTTATTGAGATCATCTTCAGGGCCTGGGATTTACAAACATTGTTTAAATTTAACAAATACATGTAGGATGTGGAAAATAAGTGAATTTATACAACGAAAAATTTTTTTTTTATATTCAATCAAAGTACACATTTTCTACATACTTTGAGTGAGTAGAAATACTTTGTTTGAATATAAAAAATATATTTTGCATTGTATAAATTCACTTGTTTCCACATCCTACGTGTATTTGTTAAATGTAAACGATGTTTGTAAATCCCAGGCCCTGAAGATGATCTCAATAAAGATCGAAACGTTGGCATGATAAAGAAAATGTTTTTCTGAAACCTACATCACACCAGACCGCATCTCACGATTTCTGAATAATTGTATTGTATGCAACACTTGTGAAAGACATTTATATTTGTTTGCTTAATTGTCGTTTCAACGTCTTTTGATTAAAAAAAAAGTGTGAAAAGATTGAAACAGTAGACAATATCGGGAAAAATTATTCTCCAGAGTGAAAGTCACAAAATTGTTGGACCGACTCGGCATTCGCTTAAAGAGGTGTGTCGATTATGGTGTGCCTCAACGGTACTTATGTTCCTTCTTTAATTTCCCATGGGAATACATTTTTCCTTTAATTTTTCTCTTTCTGTATCTTTATCGTAACATTTAATTAACCCACGGAGGAAGTTGAGTGTGTATCCAATATCGGTCCGAATTTTTCTGAGACGTCACAAATTTCATATAATTCAATTAATGTATAATAAAGTTTATAGCATGTACCCGGTCAGGTCAAAATATCTTCTCACTTTATTCAACCGAATTAACGGTTCAGAAATTTGCCCGATTTGTACGAACCCTTAATGAATAATAGATATGGGATTTACTCGAACAAGAAGTTAAGATTGACCAAAGCGTTTCGTTATTGCTGACTACCAGAGAAATTAGTTTTAATTAACCTAAAAATACATTAACATGAAAATTGTCTGTGAATTTTTAAAAATGTAGACGAGGAAGGTTTAAAAAAAAATACTATGGTTAATTAAAATATCATAGTTGTTGAAAAATTATAATTAAACAAGCTGTTTATGAATTAATATTTCTTATCATATACATATAAAAATAACCTAATCTAAGATAATTTGAAATTAGCTAGTCAATTAATCCGCCGTGTTTAAACATTTTTTAATTTTTAAATTGGAAGAGTTTTGGTGTAAACCTGATCTTGAAAAAACTTTTGATGTGATGAGTTTCATGTAAGTTCATGCTTGGACAAAACGAGATTGGGCGTTTATCGTGTTGACCTTAGGTTTGAGGACTTTTGTTAAATTGAACTCTCTGAGGAAAAATAGAAAACAATGAATTGTAGTACAATTGTTGATAAATATTCGTGGGCTTTTGTTCCGCCGGTTTGTACCGTGTAACAAAACGGCTTTTATATTGAAACCGTCGGAATACTACGGCCTTTACTTCCTCTAAATTATATTTTCATTTTAATCATAAAAAAACGAAACGATGTCTGACTTAGTTAAGCATTGATCAAAACATTTTATTTGGTTGCATATTTTGAACTATTTTACATTACACGCTCACAAGAAAAAAAAATCACCTGTTGTATTTTTTGTTTGTTATATTTTACTGAATTTGTTGATAACTTTTTATAACGTTTTGTAAGGTAAATGTTAAAGCGGTTTCTTTTTTTCTGTCTAAATCATGAATACTTGTTTCCGGGGCGATTTGAGATTATAACTTATTGTTAGATAGTAACTTAATTACATGCGTTAGATAAGGTGTGCAAGCACACCGCTAAGACTTATCTTCGGCGTGCTTTATCTTATCTTCAGATTTTAGCATAAACACATCACTTTAAAACTGAATGGCGATTTTGAAATCA